GCAAGTATGTTTTTCTTGGTCAAGAGTCACTCACTTGTGACCATGATCCTATGATGAGAACAGACAGGGCATGTGATTGACAGGTGGGGAGCTAGTCTTCTCCATTCTCTTATCTCCTATTCATTGTCCTCCAGGCAGAAGGGAGCCTCAGGCAGTACTTAGGACGACTGGCTTCAGAGTGTAAAAGACCTGGAGTGGAACCTTAGTTCCACCAGTTATTTTATGACCTTGGGCACAATCCTCAGCCACAATCCTCACCTGTGTGCAAGAGCTTCTTAACGGCATCTGCACCACATTAAATTACTTAAGGCTGGAAATGTCCTCCACACAGTACCTGACACATTTCAAGTCAAAACATATTTCAAGCCTTTAACCTGATGGGAAAAAAATCAAGTTACCAAGTTAAAAAAGGAAGTTGACTGCTTAAACAGAAACTTTTGTCTTACAGAGAAATAGCCCCTCCTTAAAACCTGTTACACTCATTCTCTTTCCAAGAAGTTCCTACACTGAAATCTGAGTAACCATGTGCCAACCCCAGTTCACTTTTGTATTACACAAGTTGGAAATTTTCCTCAAGTATAAAATACATACACAGGGCCCAAAGATTAATTCTTTCACAGCTTGACAAAGAAATGAACATGCCATAAAATTGCAGATTTACCACTAAAATAAAAGAAATTGCCAGGCATGGCAGTACAAACCTGTAATGCCAGCAGGAAGGATTTCAAGTTGGGAAGCTGAAGTAGGAAGTTTGCAAGTTCGAACCCAGCATAGGCAAGTTAGTGACTTAGCAAGACTATCTCAAAATAAAAAAATAAAAAGGGGCTAGAGACGTAGCTCAGTGCAAAGGTCCTGGGTTCAACCTCCAGTACTGAAAAAAGAACGTAATAATTTTTTAAAAGTACTATAGGAAGGGGGGAAAGTTCTGACTAAGGGTTTGAGGAAAACTGAGATGGCATTTGAGTTTTTAGAGGAAGAACAGAACTTCAAGAAGCTGAAATGTGGGGGATAGGGTGGGAAACATTGCCCTCAGGTGAAAGAGTACAAATACAGCCTTTTCTCTTTATGGTAGCAAGCTAACATTGCTAACAGAGAAAAAAGGAGAAAAAAATGCTTGAAAGCTACTGGCCTTGTGAAAGTTAAATTAAATTTGCAAACGGAACGACTAATGGTCAGGGAATTAAATACCTTTATCTTTATACACTTCCTTATTACAGTTCTTTTCCACTGTATTCTTTCCTGAGAAGCAAGCAATTATTTTTGAGTCATAATTACAATGTGGAACAATATTGCTGGAATAATTCCTGAATATCACCTTGTGATTGAAGCACTTATTCAGCAAACTGATTATCTGCATTTCACGGGGAGTGGTTTCCCAACCTCTTTCCTTATCAATAGAGGACAAACTACCTTGCTAAAATACTCCCAAGTAACTCTACCTCACACAGTCTTTTATCTGTCTCTGAAGCATTATTACATAACTATTTCTCAGAAGCAGATTTTATTGATCCAATTTTTATACATTATTCTCTAAGCAGGATGAGCATTTTTCTGAATTTGTACCTTGGTTTGCTCACTAAGATCATACCCTACAAAGCCCAGTAAACAGGACTCAAGTTTTGAAGATATATATGGCTGATGTTACACAGTGAGCAAAGGACTGTGCCATTATTAAGTTGATCCGTTCCTTCTTTATCAAGGCAGACAGATGTCTTTTGGAGAAAAGAATCTGAGGGATCAGGAATCATCCATGCAATAGATAAAAAAGATCCCCTGGGCTACATGTACAGCAATAATGAAGACTCAAAGAGAAAATAAGCATATCAAGGTTGGCAGCTAAAAAGGAAGCCTATAAAGTTATGAAGGATTTTATTCACTTTCATAGAAGGTAAAGGCTTGGTTTGGCTTTATGAACTAGTTAGACAGAACTTAAAAATTAGAAGATTTCACTGAAAACTCTATAGATCAGCAGCTTTTCTTAAAGAATGTGAAGATCTGCCGGGCAGATCACGTCTGTAATTCCAGCACTTGAGAGGCTGAGGCAGGAGAATTACCATGAGTTCAAAGCAAGCCTGGGCTACACAGTGAGATGAAAGCTGGTCTGAACTACATGGCAAGACCCTGTCTCCAAAAAAAAAAAAAAAAAAAAATACAAAAAAAAAAAAAAAAAAAAAAAAAGAAAGAAAAAGAAAGAAAGAATGTTAAGATCTGGCAGCCCTGGGCATGCATTCCTATTTGGCAGCTACTGGCTGTCCCCTTGGCCTAAAATTCTCTCAAGTCTGCTCACTCTCTTCTACCTGCCTGACCCCCCCAGGAACTTGTTTGGGCAATTCTTGAATATGCTACAAATATCAACCCACATTTAGTTGGCACTGGTCTTAATGGTCTTTTTAAAGTTGGGAACATGGTAATCATGACTGTATATTTTATTTATTAACCAAACCCAGTTGGGTCGGTAATATTGCTCAGTAGCACAATACCTGCCTGATAGGCAGGAGGCTGAGTTTGAGTACCAGTACCAAAAACAAACATCCAGTTAAACAGATTTTCTTATGATTCAGGATTACTTTATAAATATTTATATGAACATAAGATAAAATGACCGTGGGTGATAAAAAGATAAACAACACAAACCCGGTGTGGTGGCATACCCCTGTAATCCCACCATTCCTGAAGGCTGAGGCAGGAGCATTTCAAATTCCAGCCCAGACTGGGTGACTTAGTGATTCAGTGAGATCCTGTCACAAAATAGAAATTTAAAAGGGCTGGAAATGTAGCTCAGTTGGAAGGTCCTGTGTTTAATCTCCTCTACCAAAATATTTATATCTGATAACACAGGTAAAATAATTTGAGATGAGGAAGTCAAGTAGGACCTAAACAATCACTAACTAGGGTGGGCATGATGGCACATGCCTGTAATCTCACCTACGGCAGAGGCTGAGGCAGGAGGACTGCAAGATCCAGGCCAGCCTGGGTAATTTAATAAGAACTTGTCTTAAATAAATAGTTGGGGACACAGCTCAGTAGTAAAGTGCTTGCCTAGCAGCTGCGAGGCCCTGGGTTAACTCTCTAGTACCATCAAAAAAAATAATCGCTTAATTATTTACATTAACTTGCCAGGTTAGTGGAATGCCCATTGAAAGAAAGTATAAGCTTTTTAACCAGGAAATGTTCATTTTAAATTACTTTTAAATTTAATTCCATGCTGGATCACTTTAAGAGCAAGTCTCCTAGATGCACAAAACTTATCAGCAGAGTTACTTAAATAGCACTCTTTCATGGTAACTCTACTGCCATGCATGGTAAATAAAAAGAAAACAGAATTTAGTTATATTATGCTGGGAAACACAGAAAGGACAAAATTTGTTTTTAACAGGCATAGTATCAGAACTGAAATCTTCGAGTCGTCGAAATATTCTGGCAAAAGCAGTGTATAGTGGCTGTTTCCTAATTTGCTTTTCCACCCCTAGTTTTCTACCCTCTGCAGTTTCTGTGGGAGAGGATGACAGCGCATCATCAAGCTTATACTTTTTTCGTTCTACTGCTCAAAAGGACGTTGTGTTGAGCCACCACAGCCATGACACAGCTTTCCCTCCATCCAAGGTCGTCCTGCGCCTCACGGGCCAAATGCTCCTGGGGAAGACCGCTGTAGCGGTCAATGTGACCACCTGTCCCCCGCTGCCCCGCGGGCCGCTGTGCGCGGATGCTCGGAGAGCCTGGCTCTCTTCGCTGGAGTCCCCACATGAGTATGTGACCCGGCCGAGACTGCTCAGCTCTGCTGCGGGGGTCCTGGGAGGCCGAGGTCCCAGGCCCAGGCGGGGCAG